TATGGATGCAAAAATTCTTATAAAATACTAATAAAGCACATACAAAAACATATTTAAAAGGTATATCATGATCAAATGGGTTTCATCCCAAGGATGCAAGTTTGATTCAACAAACAGAAATCAATAAACATAATTCACCACATCAATAGATTCACAGACAAGGATSACACAATTATCTCAATAGAAAAGCATTTAACAAATACAACATCAATTTATGTTCAAAACACTAGAAAATCTAGGTATAGTAGGAATATATTTCAACATTGTAAAAGGTATATACATTAAACCCAAGGCTAACATATTTCTAAATGGAAAAAAGTTTAAAGCATTCCTTCTAAAAACTAGAACAAGACAGGGATGCCCTCTTTCACCACTTCTATTCAACATAGTCCTTGAAACTCAAGCCAGAAAAATTAGACAAAAGAAAGAAATTAAAGAAATACAAATAGGAAAAGGAGAGCTCAAACTAYCCCTGTTTGCCCACAACATGATCCTATATTTAGAAGACCCAAAAAACTCTACCCCAAAACTTCTAGAACTCATAAACAAATGTAGCAGAATATAAGATTAACACCTGTAAGTCAATTGCATTCCTATACCAATGATGAATCAACCAAAAGAGAATTTAGGAAAACTATCCCATTCACAATAGCTTCAGAAAATAAAATATTTGGGAATCTATCTAGCAAAAGAGGTGAAAGACCACTATTAAAAGTAAAGAAAGAAATTAARACCTTAGAAGATGGAAAGATCTCCCATATTCGTGGTTAGAATAAATATTGTCAAAATGGCCATACTACCAAAAGTGCTATATAGATTTTATGCAATTCCTATAAAATTCCAATGATGTTCTTAATAGAAATAAAAAAGGCAGTCATGAAATTCATTTAGAAAGATAAGAGGCCCAGAATAGTGAAAGCAATCCTTAGCAAGAAAAGTGAAACAGAAGACATCACAATACCAGATCTTAAATTATAGTACAGAGCTATAGTAGCCAAAACAGCATGATTTCGCACAAAAAAAAAAAAATACAGGAAGATCAGTGGAACAGAATACAAGGCAGAGACAAACCTATATCTATATCTATATCTATCTATATATCTATATATATATATATCTATCTATATATCTATATATATATATTCAGGTATCATATTAGACAAAGGCACCATAAACATACATTGGAAAAAAGATAGCCTCTTTAACAAATGGTGCTGGAAAAAGTGGAAATCCATGAAACAGAATGAAATTTAACCTCTCTCATCCTGTACAAAACTCAAAGTGGATCAAGGACATAAGCATTAGATCAGAGACCCTGAACCTACTAGAAGAAAATGTAGGTCCAATATTCTGTTATGTTGACATAGGAACTGACTTCCTCAACAAGACTCCTAAAGCTCAAGAAGTAAAGAATCAGTAAATGGGATGGTATCAAACTAGAAAACTTATTCACAGCAAAGGAAACAAGAGTGTGCAGAGAGAACCTATAGAATGGGAGAAAATCTTTGCCACCTATCCCTCAGAACATTAATATCTATATATTAAGAATTCTAAAACTTACCACCAAAAAAMCCCCACAAATAACCCAATCAATTAATGGACAAATAAACTGAAGAGGTACTTTACCGAAGAAATACTAATGGACAACAATTTATGAAAAAAAATTTCAACATCTCTAGCAAGTAGAAAAATGTAAAATAAAACCATACTGAGATTTCATCTCACTCCAGACAGAATGGCATTAGTCAAGAATASAAACAGCAATAAATGTTGGTGAGGATGTGGGGGAAAGAGTATACTCATACATTGCTGGTGGGACTGGAAATTGGTACAACTATTATGGGAAGAAAGCAGTATGGAGATTCCTCAAAAAACTGGGAATGGAACCACCTATTTGACCCAGTTATATCACTCCTTGGTATAGATCCAAAGAATTTAAAATCAGCATACTTCAGTGACATATCCACATCAACGTTTATAGCAGCYCAATTCATAATAGCTAAGCTATAGAACTAACCTAGGTGCCCTTTAACAGATGATTGGATAAAGAAAATGTGGAATACCCTATATAATGGAATATTACTCAATTACAAAAAAAAAAAAATGACTTACCAGTAAATGGATGGATCTAGAGACTATCATGCTAAGTGAATAGCAAGTCCCCAAAAAACAAATGTTGAATGTTCTCTTTGATATATGGATGCTAACTCACAATGGGGGTGGGGGGAGGGACTTCAAGTTCAGTGGATTAGACAAAGGTTAATGAAGAAAAGCAAACTTTTTACCAGACTCAATCTCATCTCTCTTGTTCTGATTCCCATCCCAAATACACACCCAACCTGTTTGTCCCTAATTATGAAGCTTAGACCACCAGTTTCAAAGGGAATAGGAAGACCATGGAATGAATCAGACATTACTTTTCAATTTCATATATGAATACACCACAGTGACTCTCCACATCATGTGCAACCACAAGAATGGGATCCTAATTAGGATATACTCCATGCATATATCATATATGAAAATACACTCTATTGTCAGGTATATCTAAAAAGAACAATTAAAAATGGGGATGAAAAGAAGAAATGAGAGAAAGAAAGAAAAAAGAGAAAGGAAGAAAATTAAAATGATAAAGAAGAAAAGAGATTGAGAACAAATCTAATTCATTGATAAAAATATTTAAAGTTAGAACTATAAAAACCCAATAATGTATAACAACAAAATTGACCAAGAAAGTGAATGTAAAAATAAATATAAAAAAGATTAAAATTTCTCACAGTTCCCATTGGCCATTCAGTTGGTTCCTTCTCAACTCTGGCTCAAGGAGGCCAAACCTGTATGCTGGGCTCTGCCTCTCCTTGCCCACCAGCAAGCATTGAGGAAACAAGATCTGCTCAGAGCTAAATTCATGTAGCCCTGGTTTTTGTATCAGAGGAAAGGATGGACTTGGCTACAGTATGTGTGTGAACTGATCTGGATTATCTGGCACTACACATCCTGAATGTCTCAAAATTGTGTGTGTGTGTGTGTGTGTGTGTGTGTGTAAGTGTCCAGCTCACAGTGGTGACTTTGGGGGTGCTGGGGTGTGCTGTAAGCAGCAAGCTTTTCACCAGACCCAATCTCATCTCTTCCATTCTGAATCTCATCCCCAATCCACACCCCACCGGTTTGTTTGCCTCTTGTCACTCAGCTTAGACACCAGTTTCAAAGGGAACGCTGCTCCGCCTTGTGCTTCTCAGAGCTGTCAGCAGGTCAGTGCCACAGTCTCCCTCCTGATCCCAGCTTGAGACTCAAGGTAGGTGCCCGCTGACCCAGTGAAAGAAAAGCAGTGGTCATTGGGTTTTGAAGACAGAAAAAAACACAGAAGTTGTGATCTCTGGCATAGTTCATCTGGACAATGAAGCCCCTTTCCCAGTTGTCACTGAAATTCTGGGGCAACCCCATGCCCATACTGGCTCCCTTCGCAGACTCAAAATCTCCTTTCTGCCAAGACTCCATGTTTGCCTGAGTCTGCACTTTTTGAATCATGAGGGTTTGCTTCAGCTTGACAGAGGAGCTCCCCTCCCTGGTGCACACCGTTTCTTTGATCAATCCTCTTATTCCAAGAACCAGTATTTCTGGGTTTCAACTGGTGACTGCTGACTCACTGGTTGCACCTCGGGTTTCCCTCAGCTCTCCCACCCCATCCTGCAGCTGCAATCTCAAAAGCAGCCACTGTTCACTGGGTCCCTCAAGTCTGTCATTTGCTGAGTCTCCTCAGGGTCTTTGTTCCTGTTTTCTGCTGAGAATCAATGGTCTTGCTTTTGACAGCTGATTTGCTATAGGTTGCTGTGTGGTCAAGAGAAGATTTTCCCACAGTATGTGATATAGTCTCAGGATGCTCATCTGTTCTTTACAGCAAAGAATTTAAGAATTTCGWTTAGTTTTACCCCACTGCGTGGTTCATGTGGTGGCATATGTTAGCACTAAACTAACTAATACAATTCATTGCTTAGGAAAAGCAGGGATGTGAAGAATGAAGCTGATGATAAGTCTGTTTACCTAGGGGAGACCCATGTTGGCTTGTACCCACATGGCATCTCCACAAAGAGCTTGAAGACATGCAGTGGTCTTGTACAGTCAATCCACCATGTCAAACATGACTCGTCTGCCCACCTTTGCACCTTTTACCATAAGCATGACATGCTTTCTTTTCTTCTTCTTCTTCTTCTTCTTCTTCTTCTTCTTTTTTTTTTTTTTTTTTTTAATGGTCATTAAGGTCACAGTCTAGCTCCTGACAGAATTTTCACACGCATTGCTGCAAAACACCCATGTGAAAGGTGAAAATATTTAGGGAAGGTTCAGCTTAGCTGCATTGGACCTAATGGGAAGAACACTTGTATAAAAATAGAAATCTCAACCCACGTCCTCTACTAGACTCTAAAGCTATTCATTTCGCTTCCCTCTCCTGCTGCTTGTTGTGCAGTTGTTYTTGTGTGGATAAGATAATTAAATTGAAAGGAAGTAAGGAGATAAAGCTTTGCAACTATGGTAATAATAGAATAATATTGCTCCTGTATTCCTCAGTGGATATTAATCAGCCTAGGAGGAGACAGAAGCCTAGTTACAATTGGATGTCTGATCCATTTTAAAGGAATTCTTGTCTTTGACATCCATGCATTGTGTTTAGCCCCAGACTGTCCTTGAAGTCTTATGCCACCTAGGTTCTCACTGTACCTGGCACACACAAAGTGAGAGTTTGCTTCTATTGCTACACAGGATGAGAGATTGAGTCTTGTATCTACCTAATCCCATCATCATGGCTGCTTCTTGGAAGTGGTATGTGGCTTAGTTCACTAGATAGTTGTCAAAATGTAGGGAGTTTGTAAAAAGCAAACCCAYTGCCAGGTCCATGCTCCATTTGTCCAGTGTGAGTCCAAATTGCACATTTGTTTGTTTTTAATGCATCATATAAGTGGCAAGGTGACATTTGACACCACTTCACTGCTCTAACATTGCAGAAACTAAAGTTATCAGATGAGCCTGTAGAAGCCAAAGAAGATTACACTAAGTTTAACACAAAAGATTTCAAGACTGAAAAGGTACGTGTCCAGATGTAGTGACATATACATTTGCAATGGGTGACCTGTATAGACATCAGAAACAATTGAACACTTGATTGTGATTAGTTTTTGAATATGGAAAATTATTAATTTGCATCTCTGTAGCTTAATTTATTCAAAATTGTGCATGACAATGAAAATGTTAAGCAATTTAAACTTTTTACAAAACAGAGAAGAGCAATATTCTTGGCAAGAATGTGCCTACACTTAGCCATGTGTTCATAGAGCGATGGGTGTTGGGAAGAAGCCTCTACAGGTAAATTTTTGGTCAATCTTACTGCCTAGAATCTTCCCAGAAATTATGATAACAAAAATTTTTAATAACTCAACCATTCAGCATTTACCCATAAATGTTATTTGGGTAACATTTCGTACTAAGTTTTATCTGACACATGCATTATAAATAACATGTAGCTTTTAAAATTGGCATTATAATGCTTACATAGTTTTTGGTTCTGCCCTTTTCATTTATCATTGTGTTGTGAAAATGTTCACATATCATTAAACACTCTTTGAAGTTTTGATCATCCTTTCATATCCAATCATGAGTGTTAATTTACTTCATCATATGGAATATAATGTAATCCATCCCCTGGTCTTGTATTTATGGGTTACTTCTGGCTTTTAAATTTCAGGGGTTTTGTTTGTTTTAATGAAGTGATAGACATTTACAGTCTATATCAGTTTATTTTATGAGACACAATTTAAAACTAAGAGTAAATGCTTAGAGAACATGAACTCTTTCATAAAATATATAGCTAAATTGTTTTCTAAAGATGTAACAAAAATCTGTAATCCCAAACATGGTTGCCAATGACTGTTTATCTAGCATTCTGRATAGCATTATTTTTATTTTGAAAATATTTGCCTGTCAAGTTTCTTTAACTGGAAAGACTTGTTTTCCCAATTGTTTATCGTTAATTTACAATTCTTGCAAAGGTCAGTTGTGTCCCTTTCCTGTTTTCATGTTGGAATAATAATGTTTTCTGTTGATTTGTAAGAACTTATTCTAAATTGAGATTATTAACACTTTTTATGACACAGGRTACAGATAAATTTTCCAGAATGTTTTTAACCTTTTCATTTGATTTTTTAGTTGTTTTAAGTTTTTTCTGAAGAATGTATGTTTCCTTTTCCCTATTGTTTCTATGTTTAACTTTCATTTAGATTTTAACAGTGGATAGTCCCCTTAGAGTTTATGTGTCGCTTATTAAGGCATAAATACCCAGAACAACTTGTCTGGATGAGATGGCCACTTTTCACTATCCAGTCAAGAATTAAGCCTCCTATGTGATGTGTGATAGAACGTGGGGAGCCAGATTACAGGAATCATATGCTGTGCCTTTGAACTTATCTTACAGTTCCAGGGAGATAGATGATTTTTTTTTCTTTACTGGTTCCCATTATTTATACTTCTTTTCAACAAGTTTTGATGCATTGCAGTAAAATCARCTGCTATTTACCATCTTCTAGTGCTTTTTAAAGGACATAGGTCAGGTGAAAGGGGAGAACAATACAGTAACCACGAAAGAGAGAAAAATTTAAAGGGCAGAGTTATTTGGAGTCAGCTTTTTGGAGAGTATTTCTTTGTTGAAGAAGTACTTTTCAGTACTAGTTGAAGACCAGTGGATGTTTTGTAATACAGGTCATCTTTTGAATATAATAGATTGTGCTTGGTTTCCCATAGAGCAAATGAATAAAATCAGATGGTAAGTTGATGTGAATTATTCATCGTGTGGTAATATAAGGCTGTAATTCCTTCCTCTGACAATCTCTGCCTGTGTCAGTTCTATTGTTTGTGTTATTGCACTAATGCACCCTCCAGAATTATTCCCCTTGCAGTAGATCATTGGCTGTAACCGTCCACTCCTTAGAAGGCAGCAGTCTTATCTTAACATATTCTGTGTCTGAATTATGAATAGATATCCGAATTTTATTCATTCTCTTGGGAAGCATGTTAATAGCAGAGCTTTCCTCCCTTGACGAACCTTGAGACATACACAATATTGTCTGATTTGCATGCATGACTTACTAATGTTATATTCATAACATATATTTCTCTCTTATTTTCAAAAACAGAAAACAAGCAAAATGACTGCAGCTCAGAAGGCTTTGGCTAAAGTTGACAAGAGTGGAATGAAAAGTATTGATGCCTTTTTTGGTGCAAAAAATTCTAAAAAAATTGGAAACCTTCAAAACTCTAAAAAATAAAGCCTAATAAAGCAAAAAGCATCTTTTCTTTTTATGTGTTCCATTTTCATTCTTCCTCCATGCCTCGGTACTTCCTGACCCTTGATTACCACCTTTTTGAGAAACATGGCAATGTTCAGGTTCTCTTGAACATTTTTTAGGATTTGATATTTGTGTCTCTGAACAAAATACAGGAAAGTTATTGTGTGGTTTCATGACAGTGGCCTTTGGTGTCTTTGAGAAAGTAATCAAGTGAACAGAATTTAACATGTAGCATCACAGTGCCCTCTGCTAACTGACCTATGACAATATTTGAGTTGTTGTTATTTTATATAATTTTGCTACACAGTAGCTTTAACAACATGGTTTTCAGTATCCTGAGAGAAACCAGCTAACAAAACTGTCAGGTAAATTGCTACTTTTTTATTTTTACTTATTTATTTTTATGTTGTGCTGAGAATCAAACCCAGGTCCTCACATGTGCAAGGCAAGCTCTCTACCGCTGAGCTACAACCCCAGCCCCTGTAACCTCAATTTTTGTAACATAATTTTGTGAGATTTTCCCCAGGCTACTAGGTATTTTTCACAAACATGATTTTTAAATGACAATATCCTTTTTAATTATTCAACATTTGATTATTTAATAAATATCCTTACATTTCTTTACATATGTTCATGTTTTGAAGAATCAGATTGTATGTAAATATTTGTTTAGATATTTTATTGCTTCCTTATAATAGATTTTTAGATGTGAGTTTACTGGTTCAAAAGTAAGTGTTTTTCAAATATATACTTATGGAAATATATTCCAAAAAAGTTGTCAGAAATTTGCACTCTAACAAATGGTGGATGGGACATTTGTACATACATATAATCTGATCAGGTTAATTCCCTACTAACTCCCCTTTCCTCTCCTCCTCTCTTCCCCTGAGCCCCTGCCTCTATCTACTCTATTTTCATAAGATCTCCTTTTTTTACATTTTTATCTCAAGCTTCCATATATGAGAGAAAACATGACCCTTGACTTTCTGTGTCTGGCTTAATGTAATTTTGCTTAATATAATGCTCTCCAGTTCCAACCTTCTTCCTGAAAATGACATAATTTTGTTCCTTTATAACCAAATAACTCTCCTTTGTGTTATAAGCACCACATTTTCTTTGTCCAGTCATCTGTTGGCGGACACCTAGATTGATTCCATACTTGGCTAGTGTGAATTGTGCTGTGATAAACATGGGTATGCATGTGTCTCTCAAGGATGCTGGTTTTGTTATGCAAAGATGTCGAGAAGTGTTTTAGCCACTTCGTTAGATGGTTCCATTCTTAATCTTYTGACRATTTCCATGGTGGTTGTTTCTATTTCTGAAAAGATTATCAGAGGTAAAATTGTCTAGCACTGGAGTCTTTTTTTTATTGTTGTTTACTGTAGCTTTCTTTAAACAGGAAGAATTTCTTACCTGCTCCTTTGTCTTATTTGACATTTTTTAAGAATACAAGCCACTTTTTTTGGTATAATATTTCTCACTTTGGGGTTGTCTRACTTTCCTCTTGATTAAATCCAAACTATACACTTGAGACACCCACAGAAGGAGTGTGTGTCTTTCTTACTGAACTATCAGGAGTCACAGTTTGCCCCATACCAATCTTGTTGACTTCCTCACTCAGAGTGGTGTGCATAAGCTTATTCACTGTAAATTATTATTGATTATCTTTGTAATTAATTAGTATTTGGGGGTAAATATCCTGAAACTCTATCCTATTCTACATCAAATGTTGACTCACTATTTTTAGGATTTACCAATGATTTTTCTAACTCTAGCATGTCTTCTGCATTGGTTGGCATCCTTTGGTAATGAAGARCCTTCCCTTCTCCACTTATTTATTCACTAATGATTTTATATCAATATGAATTTTTAGATTTTAATTTTATCTAGGGAATTATAGTAATAGTAGTACTGGTAGTAGTCGTAATTTTGATGCTCAAATTGTTCCAAAATGGCTAGAAGGAGACCCTTTAAGCTTRCTCCTACATCTTTTTAATGTTTTTTGTTGTTCTTTAGTACTTTCTTATTTCTGCAGCAGGGAATTCCAGGCTCTTTTTGCACTTTCCCTATCCACAGCCTGAATCAGCCTTTTTTCCAAGGAGCCCTATTCCTTTAATTGGAGAATGGTGTTTAGAAACCAACATCGTGGCAGTAGCTGTGCCATTACTGGTACAACATTGCTTAGTGTCCAAAGCCAGAAAGTGTGTGTGTGCATGCATACATATATAACAGTGTACTCATATCAACATTTCTAGAGCAGTTTATCAACAGCTATGTATATGTGTGATAGTTTGTAGATTCACTTTATCAGGGTAAAGAAGCTTTTTTTCTATTTCTACTACTGTGAGAGTTTGTATCATAAATAGTTATTGACTTTTGTCAAATAATTTTCATATCTGTTGAGATGATCAGAATTTTCCCCTTTTGGGTACTAGGGATTGAATGGGGGAGGGGGTGGTTACTACTGAGCCATATCCTCAGCCCTTTTAATTTTTTATTTTGAGACAGGTTCTCACTAAGTTGTTTAAGGCCTTGTAAGTTGCTGAGGCTAACCTCGAACGTGTGATCATCCCGCCTCAGCCTCCCAAATTGCTGGGATTATAGTCATGTGCCACCCTGCCTGGCAGTTTTCCTTTAATAAAGGAGTACCTTTTAATATTTGAATTATAATGATTTTTTAAATTTATTTTTTAGTTGTAGTTGGACACAATACCTTTATTTTATTTATTTATTTTTTTTGTGGTGCTAAGGATCGAACACAGGGCCTTGCACGTGCTAGGCGAGTGCTCTACCGCTGAGCCACAACCCCAGCCCCATAATGATTGTTTAATGTTAAACTAACCTTGCATTCCTAGACTAGACCCTATTTGGTCATAGTGCACTATTCTTTTCATTAACAGTTGGGTTTTTATTACTAATATTTTGTTATGGATTTTTATATCTTCTGTTAATAAATATTGGTTTGTATGGTTAATAAATATTGGTTTGTATTGGTTGTAATGATTTTATTTGATTTTGATATCAGTAAAACCAGCCTTATAAAATGAGTGGGGAAATACCTTTACATAACCTATCTTTTGAAGACGTTGTGTGAGATTCATTTTGTTTCTTACCTTATGTGTTGAACAGAATTCACTTGTGAAGATGGTACTGAGGGTCCGATTAAATAGGGGAAGAATATAAGTAGTCGAGGGAATGCGGAGAGTGTCGGGAGAGACTTGCACATGTATATTCAGTTAGTCTTATGGGCCAGAGGTATGTTGTAATTCGGGTTCTTTGGATCTCAGTGGCATCCTTTTGGCTGCAGGGGCCAGGGCTTTGGGGTGCATTCTGCTTTTGTTCTTAGCATGAAAACTTGCTGGAAGCTAAGATGCAAAAATGAAGAACAGATTAGCAGGACAATGATTAGTACTGTTTCAAATTTGTCAGGTTTATAGGAGCAGCTGTTAGAGGAAGAAACTGTTTCAAAGCCATTTGGGCCAGTAATTTTCTTTCTGGGAAAGTTTTTAATTACTATTCCAATTTTTGTAGTCAAAATAGAGCTATTCCAGTCTTCTCCTTTTTCTTGCGCCAGTTTTGGTAATTTATATGTTTTAAGAAATGTCTATTTTTCATGTCAGTTGTCAAATTTCTTGGCATAAATATTGTCATAATATAGTAACAGTAAGAGCATATTTTATATTATCCTCTTACTGTTTGTGTTTCCATAACGATGTTTCTTTTTTCATACCTGATATTTGTCATTTGTGTCTTTTTGGTTTTCTTCATTAGCTCAAGCAAAGCTTACCAATTCCTTTTATCCATTTGAAGAACCATTTTCTTCTGGCTTGCATCATGTCTGATAAGACATCTGTTTTAATTCTTACATTTCTCCTACTTCCTATAATGTGTCCTAATAGTTTCCAGCATGTTGGTGTGGTTTTCTTGATATTCTTTTGGAGTCAGTTAAGCTTCTTGTAACTTTGAGTTTATAGTTTTCAACGAATTTGGAAAACTTCTGGCCAACATTTCTTCAGATATTTTTCAGTTATTTTCCCTCCTTCCTCTCCACTTCCTCGGTTTCTGGGACCTCAGTTACATGTACACTGGGCCTCTTGATAGCAGTCCTGACATGGAACTTCTGATTTTTTTTTTCCTTGTTCCATTTKTAGACAGCTATTTCTCTTAATGTATTTTCAAGTTTATTTTGGATATAGGATTTCATCTTCCATTAACCTCTAGTAGTGAATTTTTATTTCAAATATTATAATTTTTGGTTCTAGTTGTTCTATTTGGACCTTTTTTTTATGTCTTCTCACTTTTCTGCTCATATATTTGTGTTTTCCTTTAGATACTTTATAGCTTTTTAGGTAGCTACATAGATGTCTGTTAGTTGGTCATTTCTGTGTCGACTTGTTTCTTTCTCTCCCTTTATTATTATTTCTTACTTTGAAATAACTTTAGACTTATAGAAAAGTTGCAAGAATACTAAAGAGAATCTACCCTCCCCTTGGCTTCCCCCAATATTAACCCTTTACATAACCACAGTGCAATTATCAAAACCAGGGAATTTAGCTAACTCATGACCTTATTGGAATTTCACCTATCTTTATACTAATGTCACTTGTTTGTTCCAGAATCCAATCCGTGATCTCAAMGTGTATTTAGTTGTCATATCTCCTCAGTATTTTCTGACTTATGAGTCTTTTAATATTTCTTTGTCTTTCAGTGACCYTGACACTTTTGAGAGTATTGATTGGTTGTTTTGTAAAAATGATTGTCAATTTTTTAGATAGTTAGGAACTGTGCTAATATGCTGTTTCTCGTGTAATCATTTCATAGCACTACTAACAACCAATAGTAACAGACACTGGATAACATTGATGTGCTTGGCACCGATCTACACACTTTGCATGTAATAACTCGTTTAATCCCTATGGTGGCAGG